GCCGATCATCGTCAGTAAATTGTACAGTATATTTTTCTTTAAGTCTGGAATATTGCTGTAACAGCCGATAACACCTCTGGAAGGCGTTTCTGTGCACTTTTCGAATGTGTATTGCACCATCCTGAAGGAATGAGAGGACGTGAGATATCCAACCTTCCTGGGTAGACGTCACAAGAGCCGCTGGACCCATTCTCCTCAAACTTGGTCGTGAAACAAAATGGCGGTGTTTTGGAGCTGTTTTCGAGATTTTGTCGGGGCACAGAAAATCGAGGATTTAACGGAATCCAAAAATTTTTTCGCAGAAGTATTTCAAATAACAAGTAGATTCGTTTTAGTGAAAAAAAATTTTTGGGGTTAGGTGCACTTTAAAGAGCAAATTTTCTTTTGACCAATAAACAAGAACTAATCTAATTATCAAATTGTCACGGAACAGCACATTCTGTTGCCACCTTTGGCGCTAACAATAAAAGCACTTATATTTAAAATACACACTGATATCGATTAATACAACTGAGAAGAATTTCAATGAGAGGTATTGAAAGTAAACAGCGCTACTTGACCGAGATTATATCCTTCATCGGTGAATGAGTCCCCTCACAGACTGATAAAATTTATGCTTTCAGTAGGTGCCACGGAGTCTGCAGCAATATTTGAGCAGTCTCCTGGTTTTTTTGTACAATTTGACAAGTTTTAAGGCCACTTACTTGGGAGGGTTTCGGCTGGGGTATGAACATTTTGGTCTCTTTGATAGAGACAAGGATGAAATAAACGCCCTAGTGTAGTTTGAAAACAACAGATGATATTTCTTGAACCAAGTTAGGCGTTATTCCAAAAGACACCCAGTCACCCTAGCATTCTTCTATCGTGCTAACGATGCTGGAATGCATGCGTACGACTTATTAGAGTTCTACCACAAGGAAAAGCGCTCAACATCAGTGTGTGATCTTGTATAAAATGTATCTCTCACCTGATATGTAGTTGACACTAACACTTATTAATCTGCGTATGTGTTTAGGGCAAATATTGGTTTTGTTCTAAAGAGAAAAGTACCACAAGGAGAGCAAGGGACTTTCTGAAACAAATATATAGCTTTCTGAAGTACTCAGAGAAGTAACGTAGGTACATGCACCACCCATTTTATGTAGTGCTCACAAGTACCTACCCCATCCTACCCCCTTGCTACAAGCCCAATTAATTAATTGAAATTAATTAATTATACAAACATTGAAGTTTACACGTTCATGCCATAGTCCCTTAGTGCCTTATTGCCATAGTACTTTAGCAACGTCAAGCCCCAAACCATTCCAATAGTGCACTCTGCACTAAAAATGAGTGAATTTGAGTCAAGATGAATAAAGCCTTGAAAGTTTCATGGGTGAGATGATTTAATACAGAGGTGGATGCGCCGTGGAAAATCATCCCCAATTACATGACTCGACACCTAGGTGGTTTTAAGTTCTTACTACCATGCAGTTATAAGACTAAAGAACTCAATTTAAACAGCATTCCTGTTTCTATTCAGAAATTCTAAATTGTTGGGAAATGATAAAAAAAATCAGAGCTGAAATAGATCAAGAAAAAAATAGATCCATGCGATGCCATAATATGGAACAACCATGAAGTAAAAATCGCAACTAAGCCAATATTTTATGAGTCATGGCACAAGGCGGGTGTTACAAAAGTTAAACACCTCTTAAACTCTAATAGCGGAAAATTCCTAACGTATCAAGAATTTGTTAACCTTTTCAAAGTTAAATCTAGTTTCACTGTATACTATGGCCTTCTCAGTGCAATTAAAAATAAATGGAAAATTTTGCCTACTGGTAGACAGAGGCAAACACGGAAACAGAACTAGTATGACAATGAAGAAAACCTTTCCAATGCTGCTCTGCACAAAGTAATTGTTGGGAACAAATTTCAACCACCTACCAATGAAAACCGAATTATTAGTTACAGAGTGGAGCCTTCTGAAATCCAAAAATTATACAAATGGCCTTTTTCTGTTACGAAAAATACAAAGTTAATAATGTTTCACTCAAGATAAACCACAATATCATCTACACTAAAGACAAACTTAAATGAGGCAACATAATAGCTGATGATTTATGCTACAGTATTGTGCAAAAGTAACGCAAGCGAAATGCGCGAATTTTGTTCTTTGTACCCATGACTTTTCGATGAAAGTTTGCATGAAAGTTCGAGTGAAATTTCCCGGTGTATCAAGTGATAATTCGCTTGAACAAAGGGCGATTTTTCTTCGAAGTTTCGTTAAGCTAAAGAAAATTTGTGAGCACAAACGATAGTTCGCTAGGCAGTACACGAAATTTTGCAATGCATTGAATGGCAGTTCAGCAGCGTTCGCGCAATTTTTCTTTCAGCTACTGATACGAACAAACTGTCGTGTAACTTACAAGAGATAAATTTGTAAATACATGCCGATAAGTTGTTTGTAAATATGTGCCGGTTTGTAGTCATCGATCACCAATTAAGGGGATAACATTTCATCTACGAGAAATATGTTACTAAAATCTTACCCACCTAAAGTTTGCGAAAGGCTTTCAAGCAGCTTCGCTTGCTCAAGTTCAGCTCAGGCCCAGTTTCATATGCAGAGAATTAGAATACACTGAACCGCATTATGAAGACAATGAGCTCAGTTCGTTCCACAAACAAAACAAAAACATCTCCAGTCCTGTGTACTTACACCACTTAAGTAAACAGTCGCAAACAATTTATGACGGTTTTTCAGTCTGAACACACGTGCACACTCATGAATCCAAGTGTTGTTTATTTCCATCCTGAATTACCTCCATTCCGGTCCCCTCGCAGTTGTTTATTAAAGTTTCTTGAAAGCCCTGGAAAGTTTTTCGGGCCTGCAAAGCCATTTTTAGATAATCTGTACTTAAAAACTGAGAGGTGTATATGCCTGAAACTTCTCGTATGAAGAGAACCTCTGTTCATATTAAGAATATGCGAATAAAACAGTGCTGTAATCATAAGGTTTGAGATTTTGCTATGGCTTTCCAGCCGAGTGCAAAAACTTTTCAGACCTTCGAGAAACGGGCCCCTGGCCCAAGTTGTTTGAAGGCTGGATGATGTTATCCACCTTTCGAACAACCCTGAACTGAGGTCACTGGGTGTTGCTTAAAGTCTTTGAACAGTTCACAATTATTTCGCTCCGTTTTTGTCGCCTTAATAAAAATCATTGAGACTCTAACTTATGGGGATAAACAAATATGGATGATTGCACCAACAATCCGTTTCCAAAATTTATTACAAGTTTTAACATTTAATATGAAAATTCAAATATTGCAGCATAACGAGAATATTACATATATCACAGAAAAACTAGGGAACTGATGTGTGACCTTCTAATATTGCAAGATCTCGGATGAACTGACAATAAGCGGTCTGCTGCAGAGTCCAGCCTTGCTGTTGGCGAGATCTTCATATGGTGGATGAACTCACGGCAATCCCACATTTTGCTAGCATCTTCTGAATCTGCCAGTCGAGTTCTCGTATAATTTGAAACTTAAGGCATGACGACTGACCATCGAGGTGCTTTAAATAGTAAATGTAAAGCGAATGAGCAGATGATTTCAGGTCTAATTTATATAAACACAAATGGTCGCTATGGCAGCAAACTGGCACGGAGACAGGGGTCTGGTGTGAGAAAAATCGCGTGGTTCTACATGCTGTGAAAATGGCGTGTTGGCAAGTGAAATTTAGCATGGAATTCACTGGTCAGGCAGTGAATTTTTCTTGAACCGCGTAGCTAAAGCCACCAAATCATTGGGTGAAACCAAATGTTTAGTATTTTTGTGAGCCACAGCAGTGCACAAAGAATGGAAACCCTTTCAGAGTCAGGTGTCAAGATCTAGCGAATAGGAAACACGATATTTTTAGAATGAAAACCACTTTTATTTTAAACTCGTGTAGAAAGCAGTGCCTCAAGTTTTACAATCTTCAGCAAAAAAAGCTGACTACAAAATATGGAGTAATTTAAGACAATTATTATGGCGGAGCTCCGGCACGCTGAAGACGCGTGAACAGAGTCCCATCTCTTAGAAAATTTGGTAAACCCATCAAGACAAGAAAATTTGGTTATGACGTCACTGTACGAACGTCTGTCCGTACAGACTCTAAGGGAGGGGGAATGGAGTCTCAAGGTAACCCTAACGGGGCAGTTCAAGAATGCCATGTTTTCTTGGCAGGATTTTTAAGAAAAAGAAAACTCATTTCTATTTGTTATGTCAACAAATGATAGGGGAAGCAGAACGTAAAGAGAGCGGCAGAGAGCAAGAATGAACAGGCAAAGAAGTGATGAAGATGATCGGGAAAGAGTGGACCAGGGTTAAGAAGAAGACGAGATAGTTAATACATACATACACGCATACATGCTGCACAATGCAGTGAATTATAATGAGTCAGGGTTAGAGAAAGGAGATGAAATAATACCGAGCTATGCTGAGAAGCAGAGTGAACGAGGGCTATAGAAAGGAGGCAAATACCCAAAAAATTCACTCAGAAGACTACAGAATTTTCCAAGTTAATTTCCACGCGGAAATGTGCAGTTGTGCAAATCACATGATTCATCATGTGATCAACAAGTTTCGAGTACGTCTTTACAGAAATTACAAAACGGTAAACATACCGGAAAAGTGGTTTATTGGTTGATCTATCAAAAAGATTACATCACTTCAGTCTTCACGACTTTTGCTGGACGTTTCTGCCTAAAGAATTCACACAGAAGTGAATGGCAAACTTGCGGTAAGTGACTGTGTTAAATAAAAACTTTTGTCGTGTTTTCCATTAAAAAAGACCCCATCAAGTTGCTTTGTTGAGATTTAAAGTCTGCCTGATTTCATTGAAACCATGCTGTGAAATTTGATAAATTTCAAACAACAACACTTGAGATGCTTTGTCGAAGTTGTTGTATAAAGTTGCACTTCGTAATCGAATAGTTCTTTTTTTGGTGTTTTGCGCCGTCTACAGATAATCTCTTGTCCAAAAGTAATAAAACTGTATTTGTAAATACTACCAGGCGAGGTTTGAAGTTTTCTTTAATTTGTGTTAGTAGGGGCAGCCCCTTCGTAGACTGCTATAATTTCTTTCCCTCTTCACAGTTGCAAGATAGAAAACCATTTTATGCTTTAAAAGCAGACAGGATTTGCTATGCTTGACAGCTTTTGACGCTCGTAAGTTTTCATGCATATTGCGCATGGGGATTTCCTCGTTTTGTTTGTTCAAGTTATTGGGTTTGGTGAAATGCTTGGCTGAATTTCTTTTAAGTACAATTACATTTATTTATCGGAACTGTGGTGTTTTGGGGTTTTGGATCAAGTCAACAATTTAGCATTCCTTCTGAAATAACCAGGTGAGTTTCATAGCTAACATTTCGTTGAGCTGTGATGCTATTTCGGCAGATTAATGGTTTCTTTCGTACGCAATGATTGGAAAGGTCATTTGTATATTTCACTTAGCGAACTGTGTTTTAAAAACGCTCTTGGCCTACTGATAAACAATAGATCGGATTTTCGGGAAGAGCACATTATCGTTTGAAAAATCGCAGCGACTTTTCGGGAGGAGTGGATTATCGCTCGAAAATTTGCAGTGAATCATCACGCAAAGTGAATTAGCGTTCAAAAAATCGCACAGATCAAAACAATAGGTGTCACGAAAATGTGGGGAAATTTCATGGAAATATCATTGCAAGCGAAATTTCTTCGAAAAGCCCCGAAAAGCAGGAATTTTGTCAAAATTCGTTTGCATTACTTTTGCACAATACTGTATCTATGTAAAAGTGAACAGCATACAATCCAACATATGTTTTTAAAGTACTCCCATGTAGCTTTATGTTGGAATGAATTTTTTGACTGGTGGTCGCAAGTCACTAGAGAAAACATTCAGTTACCAGACTCAACAATTTTATACGGACCTACAAACCCACTCAAGCACCATCAACCCCTAAGCTTGGCTTTGTTGGTGGCAAAATACTTCATTTATAAATGCAACCTAAATGAAAAATCTTTACTCTTCTCGCTGTTTAAGACACAACTTCAAGAAAACATAATGACTGAAAGGTACATTACAATAAAAAACAAAACTGCCAAGCTCTTTAATGAGAAATGGAAATGCCTTATATCAAAAGATTTTGTTCCAGAAATTTTGCCACCAACAACGTCTCAATAGGACAAATTAATTTACTTACTTTGTGCCAATGTTGTCATGGTTTTGAAATTTCTAATCAGTAGTGCTTAGCATTAATTTATTTTTATATCTATTGTAGTCCTCAAAGTGCCGTAGTTTTCTTTTTGCATGGAATTTACTTTACTCAATGTTTTATTGCACTGTAAGTGTTTTTTTATGAATGAATAAATAAATAAATAAATAAATAAATAAATAAATAAATAAATAAAAGAGAAGAAGAAAAAAAAAACTTAGCGAAACATAACTATAAAAATATTACAATCTGGCCCGATTTCCAGGGAAACAAGTCTCATGTTGGAGATTGATCATTTAAATTTTGAAGTCAGAAGTTGGAGGTTGGAAGTCAGAAGTCCGAACTCAGAAGTTGGAAGTTGGAACTCAGAAGTCAGAAGTGGTAGTTGGAAGTCGGAAGTCGGAAGTCAGAAGTAAGAAGACTGAGACAGAAGTCGGAAGTCCCTCCTCGGCTTTCGTAGTTTTGATGTTACATTCAAAGTATCTGCTTGTGGGAAAAGTATTGACTTATGAGTCATGCATCTGTTCTGTTATTGACCATGAATTTCTTCATAACATTGTCAAAGTAGTCTTTGGATCGCTTGGCTATCACCTCGTAGGTCCACATGTACAGCTACTTTAACAATGTTGTGCAAAATTCATGATCGATAACACGACAGACAAACAAAAAACTGATATCAGTTTGTTAAATTTCAGGTCACCTGATTGATTGCATCCAGTATAAGTTCTCTTTTCTCATAATGTACACTTTGAAGATCAAGTGCTAAGATATCCATCAGCTTTTTAAAGAACATCTAAAAAACAAACAATTAAATGGAAGTTAGCTGGCAAGGGCTTCTGGAGTGTATGAATTCTATATACCAGTTCGGTTACATACATTGTAACAACATGATGTATGTAAATTAATTGAACTAAAATGTGTAGTTCCTGAAAATATCCGTACCCCCACCATGGAGAGAATTTCATGCAAGCCCCACTCCTCCTGGAATTGCCATTTTTGAACACAAAAATACCCCCCCCCCCCCCCCCCCCCCACCCTTCTAGAATTTCCACGAGTATTATGTACACCCCCCATACCCTTTGGAAAAATAGTTTTGGCAAGAAAGTGTGTTAAAAGTTAAAGTAAACACTCCAAACACTTAGATTGCACATTATTGCTGTTTATTCTTGATTGATCAATTGTAACACCTGAAGATACACACAAAGAAAACATACAGCAATTTATTTTGAAAAATTTCCATATAACCCAATACATTCATCATGCATCCAAAATGATTAATTATGTATGTCCCCTATTGTTTTTGAAGACAATAGCAACTCCCTAAGGTATTGAATAAATACACCAATAATTACTACTTGCTGTATGAATAAAAGAAGATTTTATTGTGCACTGTCTTTTTTCCCATTCTCTTCTTCCCCTAGCTCCATTCTTCTTTCTTTTTCTCCTCCATATTACCCAGGCTTCTTATGCATTGTTTTTTCCTTTTTTTTCTTGTACCCCTGCAAGTCTCAAACCCCTTACCTTTGCATATCTCATGCTCACTAGTCTCTCCTCTACACCACGACACTGAGGTTCAGTTGAGAATTACCCCTCGAAAATCATTTTTATTTTACTCAACTTGTTAAAATTCCAAATTATTTACATAACAATTTACTTATTCATCAGTTTAACACATGTTTAACACTGCACAAAAACATGCATTGGATTTTTTAATCGACTGGGTCCCAGCTGTTCACAAAAAGTGCATACAGTCATTACTAATATATACTAGTTGTACCTATCAGTAAGTGCCAATGAGTGAATTGAGTTAGTAAACAAAAGTCGATTGAATTTTATAATATTTACATGTATTTGGGATACTTCTAGTATAACAGGTGTTAAAATCAATTTCTTTTAGTTAATGTTTCAAATTATTGCTATAATTGAACACAACATTGTTTATTTTTTCAACTCAGTGAGTGAACAAAAAGCTTAACATTTTTTTTGTATTTTTAAAAATCATACTTGTTGTACTTCCAGTATAACAGGTGTTAAGATCAATTTCTTTTTGAGGCGCACACATCTTGGATTTGTTGTGATTGAATCGTACAATTGTTAAAGCTGAACAAGACCCAGGTTGTTTTCTGGAATGAATTCAAGTGTTGTTTATTTGATTCAGGGTAACACTCAGGGTTTGTTTGCCATCTGCTCGACAAATTATTTCGGTAAGTAGTTTGTCTGACATTCTGCTTTTTGAAGGTGAATGTAACTTGGATTTGTTGCGATTGAATCGCATAATTGGAACACCTCATTCAGGTGTTTATTCAAGCGAAAGCACTCTTTGAGAGTAAATTTCAACCAACGTGTTGACAGAGCCAAAGAAGCTCAAATCAAACCAACAAGTTCACTTCTGACGACCTCTGAGCAAAGTTCTTGAAAATAAAAGAAACTTCAAACCAAACAAATATCATTAATCACTTAAAAACTTACCGCGAATCACCGAATTGATTGCAAATAATCCTTTAGAGACACGTTCAAGTTAAACAAGCAATATTGATAGTCTTCGTCAAATTACATATAAGCTTGTTTTACACTGTTCTCTGCTCACTGTTCTAATTTATCGGCTGGCCACTGATGAATCATGAGATTGTGCTCAACCTCGTCCAATTACTGTTAATTATCATTCGATGCATTTTTCTCGTCTTTTTCATTGGCCGAGAGCTCATCACATGACCTGCAAACAACTGCTGACAAATAATGGTCTACTCATGTGTAATTCCATCTAAAATAAGTACAGATATTATTCTACTCATGCGTAATTGTAACCACGCTCTTGTGTGACAAAATGGAAGATCGCTTCTTTAAGGTATTGGACAGTGCTTTGAATATGAAAACAAACTTGGTGATCGAACGATAAAACAATTATTGAACTGATTATGGATGTCTTGCAGATCAATTATTTGATCTGCTCGACACTAAGAAATCACGATATTTTGCTCCACCTCGTCCAACAGCTGTTAAGTATTGATTCATCAAAATAACACTGATGTTTATTTGCCAAGAGCTGTTGAAACATTAATACAGGGACAATGTCATGGATATTGTTTTCTTTATTTGTGTGTAAAATATATTTTCTTGCAGCTTCCATTTTCACAACGTGACAAATAAGATCGTGTCTACTTTGCAAGTTTATTTCGCCAGAAGCGATGGTCATTAATTTATTTGCAATTTTGCGAGCATTCTTGTACATTTCGGCAAATGAAGTGAATTCTTCGGCTGTTTCATTGCAGCGAATTGAGAGATTTGAAGAAAAATTAAATATTTGCCGAGGTAAACAAGAGTTTGCCAGAAGTTGCAACGTTTAAGTTAGTGCTAGGAGAAAAAACAAAACTGCTCTAAAATTAGCCGTGGATAGTGTAAACCCTCTGATTGTGTGACTTGCGTGACTACCTCAAAGCACAAACAAATTAAATTTTGACTTTTCAGGAAGAAAGCTGTTTATTAATAGTGTGACACTCATTTCCTTTTGTGTCATTCATGGGCATATCCCGAGCGAACTTCCAGATTAAGACCATTGCATCATCATAGATTTCACAAAGGTTAACAGTGATGGTACAATAAGTTATAACACAGTTTGTGTTGATCAAGTGATGTGTTTACAGTAATCAATGAATCATCAAGGACTGCTTTGGAATGTGCACTGCGT